ATATTCATATAAAACTATCATTGTAATGTAATCTGTACACTCCCCCCCCCCAAATCATCAGTGAGGTCTACTGTGCTCAAAAATATGTTGGGAGGAGAGACTATTTTGTGGGATTGGAAGAAGAATCTGAGTCTCTCCTCTGAGATGTGGTGTGACCAGCTGTGGGAAGTGAGAGCTTAGAGGCTGTGATAGAACAGGTAATCCTTCCTGGCTGATTGGGCTGGGTAGGTGAGCCCCTGGGTTTTGGCCTGAAGAGCGCTTTGGTTCCTGGAATACTTCTATATGATCTGGGACTCCCACAGCTGGGGCCCCTCTGCACCCAGCACATTTGTGTCCTAACATGCATGTTCATGACCTGCTCCCCTCAGGCCCCAGAAGAGCTTCTGAGGGCAATGGACACGTCTGTGCCATTCCTGGTTACCCGAGGCATCCACTTTCTCCATAGAAGCTGCATAGGAAATGTGGAACTAATAAGTGAGCATCCCCAATTGCTTAAATATTTACTCTCCATTCTCTTAGGTTCCTGGCCAGGATGGTGCATTGAGGTGCTAGGGGAGGTTCCCTTTCCGTGAACAAATACATAGAAGTACTGGATAAAATATAACCATTTAAAAGAATACAGAGCCAAGGGGTGCCTGGGCGGCTCAGTTGGTTAAGCATCTGCCTTGGGGCGCCTGGGTGGCTCAGTTGTTAAGCATCTGCCTTCGGCTCAGGTCATGATCCCGGGGTCCTGGGATCGAGCCCCACATCAGGCTCCCTGCTTGGCGGGAAGCCTGCTTCTCCCTCTCTCACTCCCCCTGCTTGTGTTCCCTCTCTTGCTGTGTCTCTCTCTGTCAAATAAATAAAATAAAATCTTTAAAAAAAAGCATCTGCCTTCGGCTCAGGTCATGATCCCAGGGGTTCCAGAATCCAGCCCCGTGTTGGGCTCCCTGCTCAGTGGGGAGCCTGCTTCTCCCTCTCCCGTTCCCCCTGTTTGTGCTCTCTCCTCTTACTCTCTTGCTTTCTCTCTCTCAAATAAATAAATAAAATCTTAAAAAAAAAAAAAGAATGCAGCAAGGTCAAGAACAAGGAGAGATCAGATCTCCAGCTTGCATGGGATGCAGAAGATGGACCTGAAATTCCCACAGAGGGGTCGGGACTGGGGTTCTAATGCCCAATGGGGATAGCTACTGAAGACCTCGCCTGATGAGTTCATACAAGGAGGCTCCTGCATGAAGCTAGGGGCCCTCCAGGGGCTGTTTCATCCAGGAGCAAAGGTGAGAAGAACCCTACTTACTGGCCTTGGGATGGTGTCCCCAGATATGGAGCTCAATTTCTCTCGATCTGTGTAGTTATGAAACTTCAAGCCAAGAAATGAAATTAGAAACTGGCCCAGAATCAGGCCCTGGTGGGACAGTTCTGGACGGAACTCCACAACCTTGGTGATGGGTGGATTCTCCAGGATCATGGCTTCTGCCAAAGAGGGGCTCACTGTCAACTATCACAACAGCACACCGAGAACTTGTCATTATCACAGCAAGAGCAGAGATAAAACACCAGGGAAAGCTCAGATGTTGTGGCAATCCCAAAGAGACTGGAAAAGAAGGATGTTTAAACGAGAAAGAGATGAAGGACTGGAGAGAACCCACAACACAAGGACTGAGCGGGATGGGAACGAATGTGCAGTTTTGAGAAAGAAATACATGGAAGTCCAGATGGTTACATGGATGTCATTTTAGGGCAATAGCAGAGAAGAGGAAAGGACATTTATTCAGAGTTGGGAGACTCACCAGGTGCTGAAACAGCCAAGTGTTGGTTAGGAGATCACCCCCATGGCTCTATTTCCTCATTTGAAAAAAGGTGGCATAATACCAGCCTCCAAGCGTTATGAGAAGATCAGAGCGGGTCATTTTCTGTGACAGCCCTGGAAAAGTGTGAGTCGGGTCATGCGTGCTAACCAAATGGCTTCAAGGTGTCATTCCCAGGAGGGATTTCAGTCATTGCACTGTTTTCCCCCCCAGAGATACATCTGCAGAACACCTGGAGGCACTCGAGAGTGACGTCACTTAAGAGGGGTGCTGGGGCTCTAGTCTTTGGGGTATGGTGCTCCTTCCATCCCCCAGCACCTCTACACTGCAGGCCCAATGGGTCTGGCCACGGAGGGAGGAGGTTCAGCTTAACAAGCAGGGGACATCTGAGTTCCAGCCCCCCTGCAGGCTATGAAAGGTCCTGCAGGTGTTTGGGGCGGGGCAGGGGGGTGGGGGGAGTCCAGGAGGACTTGTGCACGTTGCCAGGCTGGCCTGGGGTATGTGGCTTTGGGCTGTTCGGGCTGGGGTTTGGATCCTAGCTTGTCACTTGCTGTGCCACACCAGCAAGATGCTTCCTCGCTGGCCTCGGTCTTCTCATCTGTGAAGTGTAGATGATAATTAATACCTTTCTCTTAGGCCAGTTGAGGGGCTCATTTGAGCGAATGTGGGGAAAGTGTCCGGCATCACGCCTGGTACACAGGTGATGCTCAATGTGTGTCCTTGGCTGTCCTATGCCCTCCCCTTTCCTTTCTTCAAAGAAGGAGAGCTTTGGGGCAAGTCAGCCCACAGACTCTGCCCATAGAAAGCAGGCAGAGGAGAGGTCTGCCTCCTGGGGCTGGGCATGGGTTAGGGGGCATGTTTGTACAGGGACAGGAGAGCAAGCAGCAGAGCCATCTCCTAATCACCACGACCTCCACACCATGTCACTCGTTCTCTGGCCCTCAGTTTTCTCATTCACGCGCCATCTCCCTGGAGACTACAATAACTGCTCCTCTTTCTCCTCACCAAGAGAACCCAACTGTGTTTGGGGCATCAATATGGCCAGACCCTCCTGCAGATGGGAGCGGCCATGTGACACGGTTCTGGCCCAGGAGATGGAGGTGCAAATTCTGATGGGGCGTGGGGGTATCTCTCCCTGAACACAAAGGCAAGGCTCACTTGAAGAAAATCTTCCCCCCCCCAGCCTTGCCCGTCGTCCTCATGCCTGAACGGCAGACATGAGGCCTGCAGGTATGGCAGCCGTCTGGTCACTGTGCGTCAACAACAAAGGCTAAGGTGGAAAAAAAGAAAGGACACGGGCTGTGGGGGCAGGCCGACCTTACTTTTCCACTGCGTGGCTGTGTGGCCTCGGGTGTGTGACTTCACTTCTCAGAGCCTCACTTCTCACCGTCTGTAAAATGGGGATAATAGCTCTACCTTGCACAGTTCTTGTGACGATTAAATGGTGCCATGGATACAAATCCACCTTTTCTACTGTAAAGGGCAATCCAGATGTTCGTAGTGGCTCTTCCATCATGCTATAGAGGACAGTTACTTTAGGGTAAAACAAAGAAGAGACCCTGTATTTCTCCTCTTGGAGAAGGTTCCAAGGCTGGACACGGGCCCCAAGCCAGCCAGCCCAGCCCTTGAGCCGATCAGCTATGCAAACAGGAAGTGGCTATCCAAACATTTGGAGCTGCAGGAGGCTGGCCCAGAATGGGCCTCTCCATGGAGGCCTCTCTCCACTTTGTGCCTTCTCATCTCCCAGCTGTGAGCACCTCCAAAGTCAAGGAGGCGGTCCCTCCTCTAAGGGGCTAGGTTCAAAGCCTCCCCTTCTGGTTGCCCTGCCCACCAGCCTGGGCCAGGCCGCCTTCCTTTCCAGCTGGAGGATGGCAACAGCCCCTCTGTGAGCTCCCCACGGTCTCTTGCTCTTCCCTCTCCTCCCACCTCTTTGTCACAACTGTAGCCAGGGTAATTTTTTTTGAAATGCAAATCAGTTCTTGTCACCCTCTTGCTGAAAACTTCTGTGTTCTCTTTGAGGGAAGGATTGAGGTTCCTGACACAACCTGATGGCCCGGCCTCTGCCTGCCTCTCCAGTTTTCCTCCTCCAGCCAGCCTGGCCTCCTTTCGGTTTCTGGAATAAGCCAAGGTCCCTGCTGTCTCAGGACTTTGTCTGTAGTGTTCCCATTGTCTAGAACACCCTCACCTTCTCCCCTCCTCCTCTCCCTGGCCCATCTTGCCACGTAACAACCTATTCTCAGCTCTCAGCCCAAGTGTCAGTCAGGGTCTGGCTGAGGCTGCAGCAAGCATGACGAAGGTCCTGCTCTGCCCCCATAGCTTTCATCCAGCCTGTTGCCATTCATCTAGTCACATGCTGGTCTTACACGCTCAGTAGGGGCTACTCAGGGCAGGGATTTCGGGTTGCCGTGTTCCCAGTCACATCCCTGCTACCTGGCACGGCCTCTGTATGGAGCCGGTGCCCAGTAAATGTGGAAGTCAGGCAGGCAGGCGTGCTTTGTGATTCAAAACAGAGATGGAGCTGTTTACTGAGCACCTACTGTGTGCCAGGTGGGACCTCGCGGCCTCTTCACAGCTGTCCTGGCAGGCAGGGACTAGAGTCCCTGTGTTCTACCAAAAGGGGAAACAGAAGCTCCAAGAGGGGCAGTGACTTGCCCAAGGTCACACATCTGGCAGAGGCCCTGCTAGGATTTGACACTCCGTCCCACGCCCAGCTTCCTGCCTGGTGGAGCTAGCACCAGGGATCATTGCACATCTGTTTCCTCATCTGCAGAATGGGGATGAGGCGGGACCTACCTCACAGGGCTGTTGTGAGGATTCAGTCGGTTAGGCCACTCAAGAGCTTCGCTCAGAGCCTGGCACACATTAAGCGCTCAGTGACCGTGAGCTATCATCGCCATGGTTATCGTGTTGATCAGAGAACAAATAAAAATAACTACAACCTCTTGGGACCCACGAAAGGGCAAGTGGAAGGTCTCTGTGGGTGAACAGGCACATGAATGGATGGGTGGGTGGAGAGCAAGCGAATGAGGGGATGAATGACTGAAGACATGGAAGAACAGCCGAGCCAACGGAGGGATGCACGCACGAACGTGTGAACGAACAGAGAAACACGAGAACGAGTGTATGCGCGGGGAGGTATGCACACCTGAGGTCTGGGAGACCCGGGGCTGACTTGGGGCACCCGGGCCGCATCCCGCCCCCCGCCCGGCTCACCTGTAGCGCCGCAGCTCGCCCTCCAGCCGCCGCACCCAGCGCTGCAGGCCGGGCACCTGTCGCGCCAGCGCCTCGAGCTCGCGCACGCGGCCCAGGCTGCGCAGCACCGTCTCCCGGGCCTCCTCGGCGCGCCGCCGCACCTCGGCCTGGCCCTGGCGCAGCCGCCCCGCGCGGGCCTCGGCTACCGCCAGAGCGCCCCGCGCCTGCCGCAGCTCCCGCGCCGCCGCCTCGGGCCCGTCGCGTCCCGACTCCTGCGCGCCCGCCTGGCTCTTCCAGAGGCCGACCTGCGGGGACAGGGCCGCGGGGACCGCGGTGAGCGCCTCGCGTCGGCCACCGGCCACGACCGCGGCCACCGTGCCCGCGCCCTCCCCCCGCCCCGAAGCTCCCACGGCGCACGTTTATTGCGCGCACTGCCTACTGCTCCCAGGCTGGTCTGAACTCGTTTAATCCTCGCAACAACCCAAATGAGGCAGGAGCTCTAATTATCCCCTTTTTCCTGGGTTAGGGAAACTGAGCCACAGTGCCCAGTATTCCCATCTTTGCGCGGTACCAGTAATTCCCGAACTTCACGACTCTTTTCTTCTTCTGTGACTCCTCCGATCCCTAGACTCGAGGAACAATCTAAGCGTCTCAAAAAGGCGTTTCTGGACCTCCCTGTGTCTGGTCAATAGACTCTTCTTGAGGGTGGGGTTTTTGTCTGTCTTGTTTACCGCTGTGTCTCTGACGCCTTAACCAGGTCTGGCACACAGTAAGTGCGCAATATATACCTGGAGAATGAATGATCCTGGAACATCTTGCTCCGCACCATGGGAGTCATTTCCCACTCCCACCCTTTGCTTCTCTTGTACTCCTAGGCCGCCAGCCCTTGCCTGTCCATAGCTATGACCTCTGAAAGTGGCCCCCTGCCACCCCTCCGCATACACAGCCTGCCCTCTGCCGCTCAGGGCTGGTGACTGGGCAATGGGCAGAGTGGGGCTAATGCAAGTCAGCTCCCTCCTGATCTATGGTCCCTTGGGACAGAGGCTCTTCTCTTCCTCCTCCCACCCCCATCGCCCTTGGCTGAGCACAGTGCTGAGCACAGTGCTGAAGTGTTTGTTGACTGAATCCCAGATGCTTGGGCTGGGTCCATATCTCACTCAGTGCTTCCTTCTCAACATCCCAGAGGTATGGCCCCGAACGGGTTCGGTGGCCAGTGACTGCCCGATGAACAGTGACACTATCTATTTAGCACCTGGGCCCTGGCCCTGAGGGAGGCCCATAAATACTTGCTGAATGACCCATAGAGCTGCCAGTCTACCCATTAGGCAGGAAGCTCCTTAAGGGTGGGGGCAGGGCCTTTTTCACCCCTTATCTCCTAAACCACCCTTCACCCCCCAACCTGGCACCACAGAGAACTCAAGATGCCTGTTGAATGACTGAATGTGCCAGACGGCCCAGGTTTCCTGGGAGAGTTCAACTACTGGGTTAGAAGAGGCAAGACGACATAGTGAGGGTGGGGGGACGGCGTGGGATGGTGATCCGGGTGGGACAGGGGTTTTAGAGGTGGAATGGGTGGGGGGGGGGGCTGGAGTGGGTTGAATGCAATGGGGGTGGGATAGGGGGAGGACGCAAGTGAGCCGAAGTGGGGTGGGGCTGCCCTCTCTTCCCCCTTCCACTTCCTCAGCAGGTCCCGGGCTGCTCAAACGACCCCCGCCCGCCTCCAGTCACGCCGCCCCCCTCCCTCCGCGCCGGCGCGCACCTGCAGCGCTAGACAGCGCGCGTCACTGCTCTGCAGCGCGGCACGCAGGTCCTCCACCAGCTCGCGCAGGCTGCTGTTCTCCTCCTCCAACCGCGCCAGGCGCTCGCCGTCCCGGCCGCCCTCGGGGCCGCCGTCCGGGGCGGACGTGCGGGGCGGGCGGCGGCGGCGGCGCGGGCGGCGCAGGCGGATCTGCGTCTCGATGTGCTCGCTGAGAGCGCCGCGGGGCAGCCGGGGCCCCGCGCGGGTGCCGAAGTAGCCGCAGAGGCGCGCGTGGAACTGGCGGAAGGTGAGCTCGGGCGGCTCCGCGCGCAGCGCCAGGCGCGCCTCCTCTTCGGCATCCGTGTCCCTGTCGGTGGCCACCCCAGCGGCCGCGTCCCCGGCGGTCGCATCCCCCGGATTCGTGTCTCGGGCGGCCGCATCCCCGGAGGCCTCCCCGGCGGCGGCCCCCTCGGCGCGCAGCCCCAGCACGGCGCAGAGAGCGCGGAAGTCAGCGCGGGGCAGGCGGCCGGCGCCGCGGCAGTCCAGGTGATGGAAGACCTCTTGCAGGTACTGGTCCAGGCCGGTGGCCAGCACCACGATCTCGTTCTCCACGCCGCGGTCCAGCCCGTAGTGGTGCGCTAGGGCGCTCAGCAGCCACTGGGTGCGCCGCGCGGGTCGCCGGTACGGGTCACCCACCGCGCCCTCCATGCCGGCCTCCCGGAGGCCCGGGCCGCTCGCCTGCATCGCTGCGGCGCGTCTCTCCTCGGGTCCCTCCGCCCCGCCACTTCCAGGGGCGGCCCCAGAGTTCTTCGAAAGGAGGGGCTTAGCGGTCGCGGTCTGGTTGGAGCGGCGCGGAGGGCCGTGTCCAGCAGCTGCTCTGGCTTGGCCGGGCGTCTGTGTTTACTCGGGTTCGTTTGGAGGAGGCTGGGGTAGGGGGCCTGGTCCCTCTCTGTCTTGCTTCTCCGGGTGACCCCCGCTCTCTTCTCCCCTCATCACTCCAGGGGCGTCCCTGGCGTCTCCTTTGACCTTCCCACTCCCGGCTCTGTGGGCTTTCAACTCCCGCACCCTCTGTCCCACCCACCGTGAGCTGAGAGTTGGCCCCGGGACCAGCGCGAGGCATGGGCGCAGGATAGGAAGCCGGGGAGAGAGGGAGGGTAGCTGCCTGGTCTTGTTGCTGGGGGTGTGTCCCCCAAGCCCACGTGTCATTCCACCCCTTCTCCAGAAAGTCTTCCGAGGGTAGCCCCGCGAGCTGGCTCTATCCGCCCTCTCTCCACGCAGGTGCGGAGAAGCCCCCTCCCCCTATATTCAGATACAGGGTTCCCAAACTCACGTGCCGCTCCACCATAGATGGTGCAGAGGCTCACGTGGTAACTAGAGGGGAGAGACAGGGTTGGAGAAGTAAGTGGACTGCTTTAGGGACATCCCGCTGGTAAGAAGTCGATCTGAGATGGACCCTCGTTCTCCAAGCTGTGTGTGTGTTTGATGGGGAGTTGGAAGGCGGGGGTAGAAAAGTGGTTTCTAGCCCTCACCTTTGTGCCTGTGGATGCTGAGTTGGCGGTGCGATCTGAGTTCCGTCTCTGAGCTGGGGTTATGCTAACAGGGTTGTTGGGCCAACATTTTCTCTGGTGCCTTACAACGCATTTCTGGAAGGTGAAAGAAGATCTGCCTTCTCAGGGGGAGACGTAGGCTGTTTTTCCTTTCTCTTTCACGAGATGTCATGCACCTGTTACCTGCACTGGGACCCGCTCTCCAGCCACGTTGGAACAAGAGGCAGACTTTATTCAACTGTCCTTGGCTGTAAGATGGGCAGAATCTGGCTTTCTGTATAATTCTAGGAATTTAAATGCTAAATCTGAGGGGCGCCTGGGTGGCTCAGTTGGTTAAGCGACGGCCTTCGGCTCAGGTCATGATCCTGGAGTCCCTGGATCGAGTCCCTCATTGGGCTCCCTGCTCGGTGGGGAGTCTGCTTCACCCTCTGACCCTATCCCATCTCATGTGCTCTCTCTCTCTCATTCTCTCTCTCAAATAAATGAATAAAATCTTAAAAAAAAAAATCCTGGAATTTGAAAAGGCACTAAAATTCTGTCTCCTGGGCTGCAGTATCCCAGAATCAGCACTTTTTTGGGGCAAATCCCTACTCATTCTTGAAGATTTAGCCCAAGGGATGGAGTTAGATGCTTCTCCCCAGCCATTTTGGACATAATTTTTTTTTTAAATTATAAAAGTAATAGCATTTTGACAAAAAGTTTTTTTTATCAATTCCACTTCTTGAGCGCCTGGGTGGCTCAGTCGTTAAGCATCTATCTGCCTTCGGCTTAGGTCATGATCCCAGGGTCCTGGGATTGAGCCCCGCATCGGGCTCCCTGCTCGGTGGGAAGCCTGCTTCTCCCTCTCGCACTCCCCCTGCTTGTGTTCCCTCTCTCGCTATCTCTGTCTCTGTCAAATAAATAAAATCTTTAAAACAAAATAAAACAAAACAAAACAAATTCCACTTCTTGGCTCCTGCCTTAGAAAAAGACACATGCACAGGATGTTCACTGTATCATTGTTTATAATATTGAGAAACTAGAGACAATCTGGTACTCATCGCGCATCAGCCATGATGAATCACCAAAAAGGGTGAGTGAAATAAGCAAGTTGCGGCCTCTTATGTACAATGTTATGATTTCCATAACAATAACAAAACCACACCAAATGGTATTAAATATTTTCTATAAGGACATGTGTATGTAACTGCATAGATAAAGATGGAAGTAGGGGCTCCTGGGTGGCTCAGTTGGTTAAGCCTCTGATTTGGCTCAGGTCATGATCTCAGGGTCCTGGGATCAAGTCCCACGTGGGGCTCCTTGCTCAGCGGGGAGTCTGCTTCTCCCTCTCCCTCCCCCCCATGTTCTCTCTCAAATAAATAAATAAAATCTTTAAAAAAAAATTAAAATAGAAAAAGATGGAAGGAGTCAAAACTGATGCAGTGCTTATTTCTGGGGAGCAAAGATGTTTAGCCTTTGCTGTAACATTTCCCTTTTTGCCAAGACGATTTCTTTCTTTCTTTTGGGGAGGACACACCTTATTTACCATTTACATACCATAAAATTCACCCACTGAAGGGTGTAAATAAGTGCTTTTATTTTTATTTTTTAAAAAAATTTATTTATTTATTTGACAGAGAGACACAGCGAGAGAGGGAACACAGCAGGGGGTGTGGGAGAGGGAGAAGCAGGCTTCCCACCAAAAATAAATGCTTTTAGTACATTTGTAGAGTCTAGAGCCATCACAATCTAACTTCATAACATTCTCATCACTCATTTCCCAAAACCCTTGTACTGGTTAGCTCATTTTCTCCTTCACCTTCCACCCCCCCACCTCCTGCCCTAGACAACCACCATTTCCTGTTTCTGTAGATTTGTCTATTCTGGACATTTCATATGAATGGAATCATACCGTATGTGACTGATTCCTTTTTGAAAACATGAACAGTCATGTTTTCAAGGTTCACCCACACTGTAGCATGTATCAGTATATCCTTCCTTTTTATGGCAGAGTAATATTCCATTGTGTGGCTAGACCATGTTTTTTGCTTCTCTGTTCATTGGTTGATGGACATTTGGGTTGTTCCCACCTTTTGGCTGTTCTAAATAGCGCTGCTGTGAACATTCATGTGCAAGTTTTTGCGTGGACATGTTTTCATTTGTCTTGTGTGTAGACCCAGGAGTGAGGCCTCTGCTTGGACGGTAGTTTTATGTTTAATTTGTGAGGAACTGCCAAACTGTTTTTCATGATGGCTGTACCATTTACCTTCCTAAAAGCCATGTTTTCGTGTGTTTCCTGACAGGTTAAGTAACAGTCCTCCATCTCACCACACGGGGCCCCAGGCCTTCCTCAGCAAGTTCCTGCCATCTTCCATTCTTCTCTGTGTTCACACCCTGCATCCAGTCTGTCAGGCTCTACCCTCACCACACATCCTGAATCCCGCTTCCTCGCCCCACTCCATGGGTACCACACAGAGCCAGCCCCCCAGCATCGCTCACCTGTATGCTTGCAGCAGGCTCCCCCAAGGACTGCCTGTGGACTCCTACAGTCTGTTCTCCAAGCCAGAGGATCCCCTTCTCTCTGCTCAGGAACCCCTACAGGGACTTAAGGCAAAGTGCTCACATTCCCCCTAGCCTCCCCCTCATCTCCTGCCATTGCCCTTCCCCCCTGACCTCCTTGCTGTTCTTCTAACTCACTTCAGGGTATTTGCAGCTGCTTCCCCCAGATGTTTACCTCCTCAGGCCATCACCTCCTCAGTGAGGCCTTTGGTGACCCTGAAGGCACTCTGCACCTCTGACAGACTCTGTCTCCCTGTGTTAAACTGTCAGTCAGCCATGAGGGTAGCAAAACACGTCTGTTCCCCTGGAACCGTGTCACTGAAAGGAGACAATCAGCCTCTAACTTCCTTCTCAGCTGCCTCCCTGGTTGCCCTCGGGAATGGTGGTGTGTATTGCCTTCCACATATTTTCTTTGCCTGTAGATGATATGTATATCTTTTATTTGTATTATTTATTATGTATATTTTTTCAAGGCAGCTATTACGCCGTGTTGCTGTTGATCTGTGGGCCTCACATGAGGTCTGAGCTTCAGGAAGCCGGGAACCTGGTGTCCCTCGTCCCAGCAGGGGCCTGGCACAGTGTAGGCACTGATAATGTCGGTTCGTATGAACACACATTTGTAGCAGTGAACGCACTGCATCATATGGGAAGACTGCCTCTGGTCGGCCTTGGTGGGATTTGCTGTCCTTTGATCCAGCGATGTTGGAATCAGGGAGACTCCAGACGTTGGTAGTTGATTGGATCCCCAGCTGGACTGCAGAAGCTTCTAGGCCTGGAGCCCCATGGCCTGTGGGTTTGCCTTGTACATTTAGGACGGGACTCTGGAACTCGGCTCTGGACCTCTGAGTTGCATCTGTGCAGTTGAATCTGATTTGATTTCATGTTAGTGCTGAGAGCAGGCAATGAAGCAAGACTGCTGTGCTCCCCCCTGCCCCTGGCACTGCAGTGGGGGGCTGCTTTTGGCGAGGGAATCCTTTGAACAGTAACGTTCCTGGGCCAGTCAACATTGAAAAGAAAGCCTTTAAATATCTGGCCATGGAGCGGTGCCTGGGCCTCCGCCCCCCGCAGCTCAGCGGGGGCCAGGGAAGTCAGGGTTGATAATGGTGCACTGTCAGGCCTGTCTGTCTGCGGGGCAGTGTTACTAGGCGCCTCTGAAATCATTCCCGTCGGACCCACAAGGTTTTTGTTGAAGGTTTGAAGTGAGCAAACTCAGAGGTCTCCTGGGCTCTTTTGTCTGAGCTGGGGGATGGGTGTGTGTCTGCGTGGGGGAGCAGAGGCCCTGGCAAAGAGATGATTTTCTGAAGTCAGTTCGCTATTGTTTGAGCCATTTCAAAAAGTATATTGTTTAAAGTGTCTTTAAACATCCCAGAAAAAATGCTTGTTAGCACAGATCACCACCAGAAGAGGGGATCCCAGATACTCTTAATGTATTTGTTTTGAGGCGTTTTCCATGCATTTGGGCATGAAAGAACTTCCCTGGGGTGGTTGTTACACGACTGTATACATCTGTCAAAGCCCTTAAAAAGGGTGAATTTTACAGGATGTGAACTGTAGCTCATTAAACTCAACATAAAGAAACACGGTTGAAATGCTGTTGCTGGGATCTTTGCGCATCGACCATACTTCCCAAACAGCCTTGCCATCATCAATACTCCTATGCAAATGTTCTCAAGCACCACTCATGTTCCCTCTCACGACTGAGCTGTGAGGTTCTCCATCGTC